TGGAAAGGGCAGGCTGGAGGGGAAGTATGCAGAGAACAGCTGAGGAAATTCAGTGAGTGAAATGCAAAGGACAGAATCTTATGTAATTCTATGTATCTAAATTGGAGTTATCAGCTGTGAGGATCCTGGCACAGGCTCCAGAAGAGCCTCCTGTGTCTGTCTTCTGTTCAGGCTTGCTACCCTCGCAGGGCAGCATTAGATGGGTCTGTCCTCCATCAGTAGAGTTCAGTCTGGGCTTGGTGGTCAGGCTGGGACCATGTAAGGGTAGTGCAGCTGTAACATTAACTGGGTCAATTACTGCATTGCCCTCTTTACTTGCATGTAGTGATCCTATTGATTGGAATTACTCAATCCAGAGTGGTAGTGCATGGCTGACTGGGTTGACTTGAAATTTCATCCCATAGAGTTCCTAAACCTTTTCAGACCACATTAGTACAAGGAACTTTAATTGACGAACAGGATATGGTACTCTGGAATCTGATAAATTTTTATTGGCAAAGGGTCTGGGTCTTGGCTTTTTTGAATGCTCCCAGCAAAGAATGGTTCCCAGCCTATCACGACTGGCAGGTGCATGAAGGACGTAAGGCTCCATGCTATTGTTATTTGCTAGCACTGAAGCATGAGTCATTCAGTGGATGAAAGCTTGTCCAGTAGGCACCAAAGTGTACCAGACCTCATAGCATGCTATTCCCCAGGGGTCTTCCTGATATAGGCTGTTTTTTCCCCCCTGGAGTGGGTGGATAATCCTGCACTAGACAACTAAACGGCTTTGGCAATGGAGTAGGTCTTCACACACATCTCTTAGGAATGGCTGCAAAGACTTCAAGGTCTTTGGCTTAGGCCACTTAGTACAGGCTGCTCCTTGTAATGCCATGCCTTGCCCAGCTCATCAGCAGTGAGGATTGAATTTGGGACTTACAATGTTTAATGCATGAACTTCAACTGCTTCAGCTGCTTCTTCCTTCACTTGTCCCATCTAAGCAGGATTGTTGATGCAGATCCTGGCTCATATATGTCTTCTTTCAACTCCTTCTCTCTCATGTCCCTCTCCAATATATCTCTCCACCTCATCTTCAGTCTTCCTCTTCCCCTTCTCCCTGATAGTGCCATTCTGGTAATTTCTTTTCCCACATATTCTTCTGGACT